TTCAACACACAGGTCTGACAGGCAAGCACCCCACGATATCCACAACACTGAACATCTGGTTCAAACTGCGGGCAAAAACAGATATTTCACCCTTCCCATCCCCTTTATACCCTTTAACTCTTAACTCTAATCTACATCAGGGAACATCAGGGAAACAATTCGGCCTACAATATGAAGGCCCGTTTCTAAAACTGATGGACGCACTAAGCGATGGCAAACTAAAATCTCTACAAGAACTTACCTCCTCCAAATCCCACACAGGGAACCAGCATTTCTACTATAATCAGATGAAACATTTCATCAACACTCAGGCACTACTTCCAAACGGCGACAGACCCCTTACCGAGTTTGAACAAATATGCACTACACTATCGCCAAAAAAGAAAATCCTCTCCTCTCTCCACTCCACACTCAGGGATACACTCCCGCAAAACCCCCCTAGTTACACCTTGAAGTGGTCAGACGAACTGAAACTCAATTTTACCAAACAACAGTGGCGTGAAATCTTCACCACTACACACAAATCCTCAGTCTCGGTCCACGCTCAAGAGAGTAACTTTAAACGTTTGACGCGTTGGCACAACACACCCACTAAACTCCATCAATTCTACGACACATCACCGGACATATGTTGGAGGTGCGCGGCTCCGGCTGCCCACCACTCACATATTTGGTGGCAATGCCCAATTATCTCCAAATACTGGAGCAGGATACACTCGTTCATCCAGATGATATTCCGCAAATCCTTCCCATGTACACCGGACCAATACATTTTCCTCCTTACCCCACCAACTTTCACGAAACAAGAGACGACATTGTTCCGCCACCTTGCTATGGCGGCCTCACAATTGATACCTAAATACTGGAAACAGGCTTCCCCTCCCGCAATTAGAGAATGGATATCGAGAGCTGAATCTATTAAATTAATGGAAGAAATCACACTAGCAAAGCAGGGGAAAAAGGGACAATTTGAGACCATCTGGGAGCCATGGAACAACTTTATAATCAACAAAACCTCTCAGTCCTAGACTAACATATATTTCCAGCGCCACACCCTATGGCAAAGCCTCTCCTCCAGACACCGCTGGGGAGAATGACACCTTAGTCGAGCTATCCGACAAGACAATTAGTTTCCTCCACCTTCAGAGTGATAGTCATACTTACAGTCCTATCCCCCCTCTCCCCCCTTCAACCCACCTACACTCTCCTTTCAATACTTCGAGACTTGGTCCTCCAACCGAACAGCCAAATAACCACAGATATTTACAATGGTATTGAAGGTTATAGTAGAGAAAAAGTACAGGTGAAGCTGTGGAAAACATAGAATTTATGCCCACAGTCCACTAGTACATAAATAGCAATCCATAATAGATAAAAATTAACTTTTAATAGATGATTTAAATAAAATGGTAACACTGTCACAAGGTATCTGGCTAGCACAATCGCTGCATCCAAAACTGAATAGATTAAGCGATGAAAGAGAGAGAGAAAAAAAAAAAAAAAATAACATATAATAGTGATTAATTACTTATAGTCCAAATAAGAAAGGAAAGACAGGGTTAATCAACAATAAAGCCCAATGTCCCTGTATAGTATCACCACTCCCGTCTCCCAATCTTACTAAAAATCAATTTCTGTCTTCTCTTTAAATAATCGCTATCTAACTCAGGCTGACATAAGGTAGAAAAGACAAATCTAATCTAATTCAGCGTCTAAAATAAAATAAATGAATGAAGCAGAGGGGTGGCTGTTGGAATCTAGTGAATCGTTGTAAGGTCGTCCCTGTCTGCCTCCCACACCCTCTGCCGCACTGAACCCGACGCGCGTTTCGCCGAAAAACGGCTTTTCAAGGGAACCGGGTAGATGAACAGAATGTCATTTAAATAGCCCGCCCTCTCTCCGGATTGGCTGATAGTCTAGCCGGAATGAGAGAGGGGAGGGGCAAGAGAAAGAAAAAAGAGAAAGAAAGTGTATCGAAGCCCTATCTCTCACAGTTAACCCTTAAGAGTCCAGTGTGCTGTGAAGAGAAATAGGGCTGGATAAATATAATGATACAATTGATATTAAGAATATAAATATTAATCATTTAAATAAATTCCATACAAAACCAAAATACTATATAAATAGCTGAACTTAACAAGTTGTAAAGCAGTAATGTCCTGATTATGGTGTAAACTAAAGGACAATAATAAATGGCTGAACTTAACAGGTTGTAAAACTGTAATATCCTGGTCATGATGTAAACTGAAGGGGATAACTACAGGGCAGGAGACATTAGATCTTATACGGTAGAAATCTGTATTTGAATACAAATTGATACATAGACCTTTTGGTAACAAAGAGTTGTCCAATATGTTACTGAATGGTGAATACACATAATAGAATGCTTTGTACTGCCTCTATTGATGTGGTGAGATATAGTAGTTATGAATAGTGTTTATATTTAAGACACTTAGTCAGATAGTTATGTTCGTTTGGAGAAACCATAAGTCTCAGTTCTCCCAAATTATTTTAGAGTCTTTGAGTCAAAGATGAATTCCCAGATGGAAAAAATCATGCATCTTTGGCTTGATAATGTAGATGGCCATAAGGCCACTTGGTGTTGTAAAATCTTCAATGGCCAGGAGGGAACAAGTCACCAGTTAGTCTTTATGCATGGATAAATGGAGTGAAGTTAAACTCCTCATTTAATCCTTTTGGATATAGTGTTTGAAAAGAATAGATCCAACGGGACTCAGCTTTTAGAAGGGCAACGTTAATGTCTCCCTTCCGGTGGTTCTGAAACATTTTTTGGATCACCTGAAATTTAAGTACGTTTGACTTAGAGGCATGATTCAGACGTACATGCTTGGCAATTGGTGTATCAATGCGTAGGTTCGTAATGGAATTAATGTGCTGCAGAATCCGTCTGCGCAGTTGTTGGTAAGTTTTGCCAATGTACTGTAGCCCGCATTCACATGTTATAAGATAAATAACATTAGTGGAGCTACAGTTGATAAATGAATTCACCACTACGTCTTTTGAGGTTCGTTTGTTGTGTACAGTTTTTGAGGGAAATATAAAATCACAGGCCTTACAATGGCCACACTTGAAGAGACCTTTGGTTTGAAGCCAAGTGGATGTAATTTGTGGTGGTTTTAAATGGCTGTGTGTTAGATGGTCTGCCAAATTTTTTGCTCTGCGATAAGTCATTGAGGGTTGTTCAGTGATAGTATTTTTTAGGCAAGTATCATACCGTAGTACAGGCCAGTTTTTACTCAAAACCTGTAGTGCTTGGTTCCAATCATTATCAAAGGTGCCTATAAACCTCGTGACCCCTGGGGTTGTAGATTTGTTTTTTGGGGGTCTGTGCAGACTTTCTATCCTATCTACAGCTTTAGTTCTTTGATAGGCTCTTTTTAATATTCTGTTGGGGTAGCCCAGATTCTTGAATCTGTTTCTTAGTTCCTTTGCCTCCTTTTCGTAGTCTTCCTGATTTGAGCAGTTTCTTTTTGCCCTTAAATATTGGCCATAGGGTATATTGGCCTTAATATGATGTGGGTGGAAGCTCTGCCAGTGAAGCAAACTGTTGGTTGCTGTAGGTTTTCTATGGAGTGATGTAGAGATTAATCCATCCTCTTGGATGGTAATCAATAAATCCAGGAATACCAGTTGTTTTTCATGTATAACGTGAGTTAGTTGGAGATTGATTGAATTTACATTAAGTATGTCTACCATTTGTTTGAACGACGTAAAGGGACCTATCCAGAAAATTAGCACGTCGTCTATATAGCGATACCATTTTAATATAGATGAAGTGTAAATGGCATTCGAGTCAGTAAATACCATGGTCTCTTCCCACCAACCCAAAAATAGGTTGGCGTAGCTGGGTGCACACGATGATCCCATAGCTGTGCCCCGGAGTTGTAAAAAATATTTCCCATTAAATGTAAAATAATTGTGTGTTAATACAAATTCTAATAGCCGCAAAATGAACCGTTGTTCCTGTTCATTGAAGGTCTCAGCCTTTTCTAAGAAGAAGGCAACACCTGCTAGACCTTTTTCGTGTGGAATGTTATTATACAATGCCACCACGTCTAGACTGGCCAAAGACGTATATGGTGGCACTGTGAGGTTTTCCAAAGTCAATAACGTCTGTTTGGTGTCCCGTATATGGGACTGAAGGCCTTGTACTATCGGTTGTAGTAGTTTATCCAGAAATTGACTGGCTCTCTCAGTTAGGCTATGATTGCCTGAAACAATAGGTCTCCCCGGAGGATTACACAAATCCTTGTGCACCTTGGGGAGACAGTAAAATGTAGCTATGGTGATATTAGACTGAGACACAATGTATCGATATTCATTTTGTGTTATTACATTGTCTGTTAAACCACCTTGTACCAATAGCTGTAATTCCCTAAGGTATCCTTTAGTAGGATCTTCTTTCAGGACCTGATAGGCATTATCGTCTGATAAATGCTTCATACACATATCAATGTATTGAGTTCTCTGCATAAGGACTATATTTCCTCCTTTGTCAGAAGATTTTATCACAATTTCTGTCTCTAATTGTAATTCTTGTAGAGCCAGACTTTCCTCAAATTTTAGATTGGAAGTGTGGCACTGTTGGGTACTTTGAAACTCTAAATCGTTAGTACACATTTGTACGAATAAATCTATACATGGGAACTCTTTGAGGTTTGGGGTAAACCAACACAGAGGTTTACAGTCTGTAAGAGAATCCAAAGGTTCTTGTTCAGAGTGCAGATCTGTGAGTATGTTATAAATGTCATTATCCTCTGATGTAAGACCTAGTTCCCTCAAGTTCTTTAGGTTTCTCTTTTCATGGAAAGCATGAAGGGCCAATTTGCGACCAAATAAGTTTACATCTTTGGCCCAATTGAACCTATTTCTAGAGGGTGTGGGGACAAATGATAATCCTTTCTGTAGAAGTGAAATATGCCTAGGTTTTAGAGTAAAGTTGGATAAGTTTATGATTTTGTTTTCTTCCAATTTATCCACTATTGGAAGTTGGACTGATGTATTTTGTATCCCCACTTTTTTCTGTCTCTGAGTCGTGCCCTTTGTGGTTGGGGCCATTCCTGATCTAAAAAAGTAGAGGAGGACTGGGATGAACCTGAGGGGGCTTCTTGTCTGGGATTAGAGTCTGAAGTGGGGCCAAAGGCAGGGGGATCTGAAAAGGAAATATTCCTATCTGTATTTCTTAGGATCCCTCTAGTTTGAACTGTGGATGTATATTGAGTCTTTTTGGGAAGTGGTCTTTTATTAAATCGAGGCCTTGTTTCTGATTCAGACCATTCTGTTTCATCAGAGGAGGAAAAACCCTTCTTTCCCAACCTGTTGTTTCTAAAGTCACGTCTGGTTTTGTTTTTATTTTTAAAGATATTTCCTTCCTGGAAGTCTTTAAAATCCCTCTGGAATTTGTAATGTTTTTTATGTCTTATATTCCTCTTAAAGTTCTCCAAATTCTTTTCTAACTTTGTTTCCATAGCAATAAACTCTGGTTCTTTTTCAAATGTCTTAATTTTCTTAATCTCCGTGTCTAAGTCCCCGTTGGTTTTTTCTAGACTCTCCTGTTCCAATTTAATTAAAAATTGCATTATTTTAGCCGAACAATCTAGCAGGATGGAGTTCCATTCCGCAACCTGTTCTTCTGTTTTCACTTTATCAGGCAGTAAAATGTCAGGTCTAAGACCTCTTGGTACCAACTTCTGTTCGATATAATGTCTCAGACTGGCTAGCTCCCAGAAGCCCCTTAGTTGTGTTTGGTATAATTTTTGTATCGCAAAAAATGCCTGATTAATATCGTTAGAGTCACTGTTAAGGTTTCCCAATGGTTTGTTAGAAAACACATTCGCCACATCTTCAGACCTAAAGTCTGGATGAATTACTTGTTGTAAAAAGTCTGACATGTTAAGTCCAGCTCAATTGGTATAATAGATAAATAACTTAATAGTCATTACTGTCTATAAGATACAATGAGAATTAATTGTCTTAGATTCTACTTTCTGTTCAAATTTGGTACTGAAACCTACTGAAAACAATTGTATTAAAAAGAAAAAACAGAAAGAGAAAAGAGTATGTCAAGATTGCTATAGATGAATATGGGGGGTAACCCCTATTGAAACAATAAATAGTAGAGAAAAAGTACAGGTGAAGCTGTGGAAAACATAGAATTTATGCCCACAGTCCACTAGTACATAAATAGCAATCCATAATAGATAAAAATTTACTTTTAATAGATGATTTAAATAAAATGGTAACACTGTCACAAGGTATCTGGCTAGCACAATCGCTGCATCCAAAACTGAATAGATTAAGCGATGAAAGAGAGAGAGAAAAAAAAAAAAGCCCTATCTCTCACAGTTAACCCTTAAGAGTCCAGTGTGCTGTGAAGAGAAATAGGGCTTCAAACCAAAGGTCTCTTCAAGTGTGGCCATTGTAAGGCCTGTGATTTTATATTTCCCTCAAAAACTGTACACAACAAACGAACCTCAAAAGACGTAGTGGTGAATTCATTTATCAACTGTAGCTCCACTAATGTTATTTATCTTATAACATGTGAATGCGGGCTACAGTACATTGGCAAAACTTACCAACAACTGCGCAGACGGATTCTGCAGCACATTAATTCCATTACGAACCTACGCATTGATACACCAATTGCCAAGCATGTACGTCTGAATCATGCCTCTAAGTCAAACGTACTTAAATTTCAGGTGATCCAAAAAATGTTTCAGAACCACCGGAAGGGAGACATTAACGTTGCCCTTCTAAAAGCTGAGTCCCGTTGGATCTATTCTTTTCAAACACTATATCCAAAAGGATTAAATGAGGAGTTTAACTTCACTCCATTTATCCATGCATAAAGACTAACTGGTGACTTGTTCCCTCCTGGCCATTGAAGATTTTACAACACCAAGTGGCCTTATGGCCATCTACATTATCAAGCCAAAGATGCATGATTTTTTCCATCTGGGAATTCATCTTTGACTCAAAGACTCTAAAATAATTTGGGAGAACTGAGACTTATGGTTTCTCCAAACGAACATAACTATCTGACTAAGTGTCTTAAATATAAACACTATTCATAACTACTATATCTCACCACATCAATAGAGGCAGTACAAAGCATTCTATTATGTGTATTCACCATTCAGTAACATATTGGACAACTCTTTGTTACCAAAAGGTCTATGTATCAATTTGTATTCAAATACAGATTTCTACCGTATAAGATCTAATGTCTCCTGCCCTGTAGTTATCCCCTTCAGTTTACATCATGACCAGGATATTACAGTTTTACAACCTGTTAAGTTCAGCCATTTATTATTGTCCTTTAGTTTACACCATAATCAGGACATTACTGCTTTACAACTTGTTAAGTTCAGCTATTTATATAGTATTTTGGTTTTGTATGGAATTTATTTAAATGATTAATATTTATATTCTTAATATCAATTGTATCATTATATTTATCCAGCCCTATTTCTCTCCACAGCACACTGGACTCTTAAGGGTTAACTGTGAGAGATAGGGCTTCGATACACTTTCTTTCTCTTTTTTCTTTCTCTTGTCCCTCCCCTCTCTCATTCCGGCTAGACTATCAGCCAATCCGGAGAGAGGGCGGGCTATTTAAATGACATTCTGTTCATCTACCCGGTTCCCTTGAAAAGCCGTTTTTCGGCGAAACGCGCGTCGGGTTCAGTGCGGCAGAGGGTGTGGGAGGCAGACAGGGACGACCTTACAACGATTCACTAGATTCCAACAGCCACCCCTCTGCTTCATTCATTTATTTTATTTTAGACGCTGAATTAGATTAGATTTGTCTTTTCTACCTTATGTCAGCCTGAGTTAGATAGCGATTATTTAAAGAGAAGACAGAAATTGATTTTTAGTAAGATTGGGAGACGGGAGTGGTGATACTATACAGGGACATTGGGCTTTATTGTTGATTAACCCTGTCTTTCCTTTCTTATTTGGACTATAAGTAATTAATCACTATTATATGTTATTTATTTATTTTTTTTCTCTCTCTCTTTCATCGCTTAATCTATTCAGTTTTGGATGCAGCGATTGTGCTAGCCAGATACCTTGTGACAGTGTTACCATTTTATTTAAATCATCTATTAAAAGTAAATTTTTATCTATTATGGATTGCTATTTATGTACTAGTGGACTGTGGGCATAAATTCTATGTTTTCCACAGCTTCACCTGTACTTTTTCTCTACTATTTATTGTTTCAATAGGGGTTACCCCCCATATTCATCTATAGCAATCTTGACATACTCTTTTCTCTTTCTGTTTTTTCTTTTTAATACAATTGTTTTCAGTAGGTTTCAGTACCAAATTTGAACAGAAAGTAGAATCTAAGACAATTAATTCTCATTGTATCTTATAGACAGTAATGACTATTAAGTTATTTATCTATTATACCAATTGAGCTGGACTTAACATGTCAGACTTTTTACAACAAGTAATTCATCCAGACTTTAGGTCTGAAGATGTGGCGAATGTGTTTTCTAACAAACCATTGGGAAACCTTAACAGTGACTCTAACGATATTAATCAGGCATTTTTTGCGATACAAAAATTATACCAAACACAACTAAGGGGCTTCTGGGAGCTAGCCAGTCTGAGACATTATATCGAACAGAAGTTGGTACCAAGAGGTCTTAGACCTGACATTTTACTGCCTGATAAAGTGAAAACAGAAGAACAGGTTGCGGAATGGAACTCCATCCTGCTAGATTGTTCGGCTAAAATAATGCAATTTTTAATTAAATTGGAACAGGAGAGTCTAGAAAAAACCAACGGGGACTTAGACACGGAGATTAAGAAAATTAAGACATTTGAAAAAGAACCAGAGTTTATTGCTATGGAAACAAAGTTAGAAAAGAATTTGGAGAACTTTAAGAGGAATATAAGACATAAAAAACATTACAAATTCCAGAGGGATTTTAAAGACTTCCAGGAAGGAAATATCTTTAAAAATAAAAACAAAACCAGACGTGACTTTAGAAACAACAGGTTGGGAAAGAAGGGTTTTTCCTCCTCTGATGAAACAGAATGGTCTGAATCAGAAACAAGGCCTCGATTTAATAAAAGACCACTTCCCAAAAAGACTCAATATACATCCACAGTTCAAACTAGAGGGATCCTAAGAAATACAGATAGGAATATTTCCTTTTCAGATCCCCCTGCCTTTGGCCCCACTTCAGACTCTAATCCCAGACAAGAAGCCCCCTCAGGTTCATCCCAGTCCTCCTCTACTTTTTTAGATCAGGAATGGCCCCAACCACAAAGGGCACGACTCAGAGACAGAAAAAAGTGGGGATACAAAATACATCAGTCCAACTTCCAATAGTGGATAAATTGGAAGAAAACAAAATCATAAACTTATCCAACTTTACTCTAAAACCTAGGCATATTTCACTTCTACAGAAAGGATTATCATTTGTCCCCACACCCTCTAGAAATAGGTTCAATTGGGCCAAAGATGTAAACTTATTTGGTCGCAAATTGGCCCTTCATGCTTTCCATGAAAAGAGAAACCTAAAGAACTTGAGGGAACTAGGTCTTACATCAGAGGATAATGACATTTATAACATACTCACAGATCTGCACTCTGAACAAGAACCTTTGGATTCTCTTACAGACTGTAAACCTCTGTGTTGGTTTACCCCAAACCTCAAAGAGTTCCCATGTATAGATTTATTCGTACAAATGTGTACTAACGATTTAGAGTTTCAAAGTACCCAACAGTGCCACACTTCCAATCTAAAATTTGAGGAAAGTCTGGCTCTACAAGAATTACAATTAGAGACAGAAATTGTGATAAAATCTTCTGACAAAGGAGGAAATATAGTCCTTATGCAGAGAACTCAATACATTGATATGTGTATGAAGCATTTATCAGACGATAATGCCTATCAGGTCCTGAAAGAAGATCCTACTAAAGGATACCTTAGGGAATTACAGCTATTGGTACAAGGTGGTTTAACAGACAATGTAATAACACAAAATGAATATCGATACATTGTGTCTCAGTCTAATATCACCATAGCTACATTTTACTGTCTCCCCAAGGTGCACAAGGATTTGTGTAATCCTCCGGGGAGACCTATTGTTTCAGGCAATCATAGCCTAACTGAGAGAGCCAGTCAATTTCTGGATAAACTACTACAACCGATAGTACAAGGCCTTCAGTCCCATATACGGGACACCAAACAGACGTTATTGACTTTGGAAAACCTCACAGTGCCACCATATACGTCTTTGGCCAGTCTAGACGTGGTGGCATTGTATAATAACATTCCACACGAAAAAGGTCTAGCAGGTGTTGCCTTCTTCTTAGAAAAGGCTGAGACCTTCAATGAACAGGAACAACGGTTCATTTTGCGGCTATTAGAATTTGTATTAACACACAATTATTTTACATTTAATGGGAAATATTTTTTACAACTCCGGGGCACAGCTATGGGATCATCGTGTGCACCCAGCTACGCCAACCTATTTTTGGGTTGGTGGGAAGAGACCATGGTATTTACTGACTCGAATGCCATTTACACTTCATCTATATTAAAATGGTATCGCTATATAGACGACGTGCTAATTTTCTGGATAGGTCCCTTTACGTCGTTCAAACAAATGGTAGACATACTTAATGTAAATTCAATCAATCTCCAACTAACTCACGTTATACATGAAAAACAACTGGTATTCCTGGATTTATTGATTACCATCCAAGAGGATGGATTAATCTCTACATCACTCCATAGAAAACCTACAGCAACCAACAGTTTGCTTCACTGGCAGAGCTTCCACCCACATCATATTAAGGCCAATATACCCTATGGCCAATATTTAAGGGCAAAAAGAAACTGCTCAAATCAGGAAGACTACGAAAAG